TGGTCTTTGGTTTCCGTGCAGGGAGGTCTATGTAAGTTAGGAGCCCATGTAACAACTCACAGGGGCACAGTCCCCATCTCCCTTCTTGAGCCATCCTAATCCTAAAGCGTGCTATGGGGAGGCATTTGGTCCCGACTAGTTCAGTTTCCAAGGTTAGTTTAGCAGTCTGTCTTTTACTCTGAAATGGCCTTAACCCAAGAGGTCTTCCTCCTGCAGCTGGTTTGTATATGTGAGGATAAGTACAACGGTCTTCCTCTGACATGTTACCCAGCATCCACACACTTGTCAGCAGCGGTATTGATTCCCACACACCCGCAGTCTGTAAGAGTTGCGTCACACCTGACATGGATGTTAATTCCCTCATCATGGGCTTACTTGCTTCTCTGCCATCCGGGAGCGCCCATCTTCCATCTGCAGTTTGAGTGGTCCCTATTCTGCGTAGTTCCCAGCCCTCCTCTTTAGTAAATCAGGGCCTTAGTGTTGCTCAAGGGATGTGTGAGATTAGATTGCCTAACTTAATCCCTTCTAAGGAGACTTGCTTAGCAGCTTCATCTGCAAGTCTTTCCTATAACTTCCATACAATTTCCCCTTTGATGACCAGTTTCATGGACATAGCCAATTCTGTTTAAGAGGCTTTCTAGAAGCTGTTTTACGAATTTTCTGTGTGCCAGTTCCTTTCCTCCGCTGTCACTCAGGACGACCCATCCGCGAACAGTCTCCTCCGGCCATGTGGTGGGGCCTCCCTGAGATCTGGCCTGACCTTGTCTGGTGTTCTGCCCTGTGACTTGTCAACCCCAAAGCTTCCTGAGCTCCATTTTTGTTTTTGGCCTAGGCAGACTCACTGCACCTCGTACTTCTTCCCTTAATAGTTCTCCTGAATTGATTTCTCATCCCACCCACCAATGCTTGGTAATTTCTTTATTATATCAGGCCAGCTCTTAATTACAAAATTAACTTTTATTTATTTTTTAAAGATTTATTTTTTATTTTTTTGAAAGTCAGAGTTACACAGAGGAGAGGCAGAGAGAGAGAGAGAGGTCTTCCATCCGATGGTTCACTCCGCAATTGGCCACAATGGCCGGAGCTGTGCCGATCTGAAGCCAGGAGCCAGGAGCTTCTTCCGGGTCTCCCACACAGGTGCAGGGGCCCAAGGGCTAGGGCCACCTTCTACTTCTTCCCAGGCCATAGCAGAGAGCTGGATGGGAAGTGGAGCAGCTGGGACTAGAACCGGCGCCCATATGGGATGCTAGCACTGCAGGCCAGGGCGTTAACCTGCTGTGCCACAGCGCCAGCCCCACAAAATTAACTTTTAAAAAGTCCTTGTCCCACTGGGTCCTCTGGCTCCAGCCCAGGGTATTTCCTCATTTGATCTCTCAAGTCCCTGGAGAACACACAGGGGGTTTCCTCCCACTTCATCCTGTTGAATTTCAAATGCCTTAGAGACATTTTGTGACCTGGGAGCACTCTTTGATTTTTTTTAATTATTAGCCCTCTGAAATCTTGCATTTGTGCTCCATCTCTGGGATCATGATTATTCCACTCAGGACCAACCTTTGGGAAGTTTTGTTCCGGCCCATCTTAGTTCTTTTCTCCATAATCCCCGGATGTTAAACGTCCCCTGACTGTCCTACTGGCACCTCTTGCTTTTCTTGTCCTCTACCCTGAGGGACATAGGGAGGGGGCAGGCATGATAAAGGGGTCCCCAGGCTTTACGCTGGGACACTCTTCCTCCCTTTTGAGGGAGAACATGGGAGTCAACTGCTTCATCCACCAGGGAGCAGGACCTATTTCTTCTTGTAAAGATGGGGTTTTATCATTCACATAGAAAATTAGAGCTTGCCACATCCAGTCTTCAAACAGCAAAACTTGGGCCAGAGGACCAAGGCTTCAGCAATTGGGTCTTTAGGCCAAATAAAACAGCAGTATTTAGTCATTTTTTGCTTCTCTTTGTGCCTGGTCTGAGGAACGTCCCTTCCCGTCACCCCTGGACCCCAGCATTCTCCCCAGTGGACCGTCTGGGAGAACGTCAGGAGGAGCCTCCACTTGCCTAGTCCTAGAATCCTTCCCGTTTGCAAGTAGTCCTGTGTGTCTGAGTGTGTCAGTTTCCTTGTGTGCTCAGTCTGCTGTAACCAAGAGCTCTTGCACACCACCCCGAGTTTTCCTGTGAGCCCAGCCACCGCAGTGGAGGTTTCTTGTACACCCCAGGACCCGCTTTGTCTGTCTCTGTCATTACCCTCGTGGGAGAACAAAACCACAGATCGGGACTCCACACTCCCTTATATGTAGGATACTTTCTCAGTTACACACACACAACCTAAGAAAATACCCACCCAGAAAGGCAGTACGTTTAAGGTGAAGTTTTCCCACCTTGGTTCCTATCCGAGGTTGCTTGGTTCCTGCAGTGTCTGCGTTTTCTTTCTTGGGTCACCTCTGCTGTCTGCTAAATAAAGTCTTGAGCTTTTCTGTGACTTCTGCAGGGAGATGGGCCACGTGGACAGAGCAGGCCACCTGAAGTCAGGTGGGACGTGTCTCCTCCTCTGCTGGGGTTCTGAGATCTCCGACAAGCCCCCATGTTTTTGGGAAATAGACTTCCCTGTCCACTCAAGAAATGGGCCTGGACTTGCAAGATCAGGTTTCTGATGAGCAGGTACAACTGGAGCAATTTATATCCTAGCACATAGGCCCCCCCAGTTCCTCACTGTCTGAATACTATGGGGTGTGCAATCTTCCCAGACATCGCCGGAGTTACAAAGTTACCTTCCTCCTTCCTTCTCTTGTATTTTAATTTCCCCTTGTGAGCTGGCTACTCTGTAACATCCTGTTTCCCTAGTGAGTTTTGCTACATCTTCAAGTTAGCTGAGGGTGGTTTTCCATGCTGTGTTGAAAATGGACCACCAGATATTTTCTGACAGCAAGTGAATGGGTAAGCTTGTATATACACAGAGTATTACTCAGCAATAAAAAGAGATAGACTGTTGCTCTATTCAGTGACACTGAGGAAGGACTAAAGAGGCACGAGGAAGGTTTGGAGGTGATGACTTGATTGTGATCGGTTCCAGGGGTTATAAATGTGCCAAGACTTAAATTGCACGCATTTAAGATGTACACTTCATCGTCTATCAATTATACCTCAAGGCTATTTAAAATAGGAGGGTACCCCCCAAAATTCATGGAAAATGGAAATAAAGGATGTTTATTTTGATGCAACAAAAGGCTGAGCTTGGGGGAGGATGTTACGGAGCAGCATAGTGAGCCACTGCTTCGCGTGCCATGCTAGTGATGGTGGCCCAAGGGCTCGGACTCCCGCTGCTCCTCCAGGAGACCTGGGTGGAGTTCCAGCCTCCTGGCTTCTGCCTGGCCCAGTGTCGGCTGTTGGCGTGGTTTTGGAAGGAGAGTTCTCTGTGTCTGTCTCTCTCACTGTACCTTTCAAGTAGGTTAAAGTAAACAAACAGCTACATAAACGGACTATGGTAGAAATCAATACTCAGAGTAAGTCTAGTTTTAAAAGAAGATGGAATTCCATGCATGTGCTGGATTTTCAAAAAGTTCATGGAAAATGCATGTTATGAAATAACTGTGCATGAATTTCAAGTCCATTTAAAAATCCAATGGCCCTCCATGTGGAACGTGGACTTCTGAACTGGTAGGCCTAATGCCTGCCCCTGCACAAACATTTTGAGATACTTTCATGTAAATAAATAGTAAACCATTCAGAATTCCAGGGCTGTTGTTAATTAACACCTACATGCAAATGACATGGTGTTTGACCAGAGATTAATAAAAGGGCCTTGCTTGCTGATTTGTGCTTCTTTACAGTTAAAATCAATAGGAAATGTTGAGAATTTAAAAAAAAAAATTCTCCCTATTTCTCACTGAGGAAAAACTATATTTTTACATGGTTTATCATTGAGATGCCTTTTAAAAGAGTTAAGATGATTTCTAATGAGGAACTCAGCCTGAATTGAGAAAAAGAGGAATGGAGAACGCGGTGGTGTTAATTCAGTGGCTAATCCTTGCCCACGGAATCAACATCAGGTCCCTAGTTTTTGCCCTGTAAGCTTCTGGCTGGGCTTTGACTCACCTTGTGCGAAGAATGCACCGTGCTGTGCCTGCCTTCCTGCCTCTGTGCTTCTTCCCTACCCCACCTCATCACCTTTGTTCCCTGTCTGGGTAAAATGCTACTCAGCCTTTAAGTTCCCATGCAGATAGCAAGGTGTTTTCTCTGATTGTCTCGGCCAGAAGTGTGTCACCCGTATTCTGTAGCTGACTCAACACTAAGCACGTAGTCTGTGCCCTGTGCCTTGCACTGTATCAATTTACATGCATTTCTGGAGTGACTTTAGTCAGTGGCACCTAGCAAGCACCTTGTATGTAGTAATCGTATGTGTGTGTGTGTGTGTGTGTGTGTGTGTTGGTTGTGCCACAGAAGAGTGCAGTGGGAGTTATTTTTGTAAGTAGAAAGTTATAGCAAGTAGAATGTTACACATTTTGGCTGTTGCTTAGATATGTTTGACTTTACTTTCACTTTTGTTGGGATTGTGATTCATGCTCAATGAGGAAAGGAGTGATAAGGCAAACAGCAGAGAACAATTGTTCTGATTTTATTTTTGGATACATTACATTATGTGGCTGTATTGTCAGGGCAGCCGAGTGGGAAGACTCACTGTCCTCCTGACATTTTTTCCTAAGCTAATATTTAGATTATGTGGAACCTTCCCTCCCCCTAGGTTTCTAGAACTGGGCAGGGGCCGGGTCGGGGAGGGGAAATGAGTTTGTAAATTGCAGTCAGCCAGGCATAATTCTCTCCAAATAATCTACATAAAAATACTTGAGGATTAGCTCAGTGGCATCTTAACATGACAGTATTGCACGTGTCAAGGAAAGAGCATGACTTTGGCAGGAGTCAGAATATTGGGAGGGAACCGTTTTTAAGGTTGCGGGTGAAAGCCATCCCCTGAATTGCCCTTGGCCTTGCTCACTTGTTAAATTTATTTTTCCAGGTCCGAACCCTATTTGTCAGCGGTCTCCCTCTGGATATCAAACCTCGAGAACTCTATCTGCTTTTCAGACCGTTCAAGGTACCTTTGCTATGTTTAAACAACCGTCAAAGGAAGCAAAAAGACCAAGTGTTAATGCTTCGTTGAGGCTTTGCGGGGGAGGGAAATGGAATGTTGGAGGAAGCACTTTGCAGGATGATGTTTTTAGAAGGCTGGACATATGTAGTCCTCTGTACCCTGCGTTAACCTGACCACTGTTGTTGTTGTCAGGACAAGAGTGTCCTAAGTTTCAAAGTAAGATAAAATCTCAAAGAGGTTGAGAGGAATGTGTTCTACTGTCAGATAAAGTCTTCAATGCAGTTGGCTGTCCTTTTTGACTATGGAAATAAAATCACTGTAGAGATATTAGATGTTACTGGCGTTCAACCGTAACAAGAAATTGGGCAACAGTACAGCAGGGGAGAAGGAGAGAGGGCTTCCATAGGGAAACCTTGAGGCACAGGAGAAGGCTGGAACTGCTCGGGAAGTGGCCTAGGCAGCAGTCTCATGACCTGGGGACCTGTGTCGGGATCTCTGGGTTGCTCAGAGTGGGTATGTCAGCAGTGGTGCGTGACATCGGCCACCTTTATGAGTAGGTGCTGGGCAGCCTTGATTTCTGGCTTGTGAGCCATCTTGATTGAAGCAGGACCCCTGTGAGTGAGGCGGGATGGGTTCAGTCTCAGGAGACACTGGGATGGGACAGGTGCAGGTGCTTGCGTCGGAAAGGAGGCACATGTAGGACGTCTAACTTTCCAAGAAAGAGCTGCAGCTCTGTTCTCATGGCCGTCCCCTCAATGCAACGAAACTGGTGACCTCACAGCAGGAAGCAGAAGGAATAAACACGCAGAGGAAGTGGGAGAGGCAGAGTGTTGTGGAGAAAGTGCCAACTTTGAGAATTTACTGTCTCTTCTGCAGGGTTGCAGTGTTACAAAAGGGACAGCTTTCTGTGTAGGATGAGGACAGCTCATTGTAAAAATAATTGCTAATCTCAACTGACAAAATACTGTTACGCTGTTACGCAGAGAAAGGGTCAGAGATGGAGCTAACAAGCCCCTTACAGATTCTCTAATGTATCATCACAGTCCTTGGAAGTGCGTTAGCGCCCCTCCCTCCCTTTTTTTAAATAAGGAATTGAAAATTTGGAGCAGTTGAATAAATCACACTCATGTGTACACGCATCGTAAGTGATGGGGCTGGGATTCAAACTCAGGCAATCTGACTGCACCTCACAGTCTGAACTATGACGCCAGGCACTGCTAGGCTGTGTGTTCCTTGAGAAAGCCAGCCGGTATTTCACTGGAGTGTTTCACAGGACTGTTTGTCCTGTGCCTTTGAGGCCTTCGGGGATTTAGAACCTCAGGTCTTTGCAAGAGAGAGCACCTTGAGCAAAGGAAGAGGCAAGGCTGTGAATCACGCCTCTAGCCGGGACAGCTCAAGGCCTCTGAGGCAAAATGTTTATAGTAGCTAATTGGTGACATGGTTCTCTGCTCGGGAGATGTGAGGATGAATCAGTGCCAGCATCCTGCCCAGAAACCTCAGTGCTAAAGTCAGGACCCTGGTACATTCCTAGCAACCTTCTTTTAATTAAAGTCCCTGCGGCCTGACCCCAGCCTGCAAATCTCTCCCTGGGCTGATGCGAGCAGTGCTGTTTTCTCCTCCTGGGTCATCCATCAGTGCCAGCCAGCAGGCTTTGCTCAAGTTCCGAAAGAAACACACGTGTGTGTTACCCTTACCCTGAGGATCCAGTAGGGGTGAGGCGAGAAACAAGAGAATGAAGGGGCACTGAGTGTTCCCAGCTTCCTTGAGGAGGGGCTGGAGTTGAAAAACCCAACAGGGAAGTTTCCCAGGTCCCCATCAGAATGCCGCCGTGAAAGTTGGCGGCTTCAGTGTGTGCACAAAAGAACTCCACGCGGTGCTGTGATCACCGCCTGCTTAACCTTTGCTGGCGGCTGGAATGAAACGACTTGGTTTATGCCTGATGTTTCATTGTATAGCCCGAGTCAAGCATGCTCTGACCTTGCTATCTTATTAAATTTATCCTCTTCCCTCTCCCAGTTCTATGAGGTCCCCATTATTATCTAGACCAAGAAAAAACAAAGACCTACTGTAGACAAGCACACCCTTGTTCCTACCATTGCATAATTTCATGAAAGAATGCAAGGAAGAGAAACAGATACATTTCCGGGCTTGCTGTCTTCTAGGCCCTAGTGTGCAAACAGGGACGTGCATGTGCTGAGGGAGTGGGATTGCCTGCCTAGTTAACTTTGGAAGCCTGTGTGAGAATATTTTGGTAGTTTATAGTTATAAAGGTCTTATTTTTAGTTAAGCAAAGTAGTATTACAATTATTCTCCCCCTCGCCCCTGTACTCCTTTTTGGTCTAAACTTGGTTTTTCTTTCTTTTCAGGGCTATGAGGGTTCTCTTATAAAGCTCACATCTAAACAGGTAAGAATTTTGAACTTTCATATAAAGACATTTCAACTTTCTTTAGCAATGTCACTGGGGCTGGGCATTCTTTTATTTTTTAATTCTAATTAATGTTTGATTTTTTTTTTTTTTTTTGGTTGTTGCTTTAAAAATTAAGGATAACACCTATTAGGGATTCACATAGGAAAATGTTTCTTAATTTCATAATCACCAGCTAGGATAACTAAGGCTGTCCCAGAAGAAGGCAGATTGATTTCTAGTTTCAAACAAAATGGTGAATTATTAGCCAAATTCACTTGTATCCCCAGATGTTTTCCTGTTTCAGTGTATGATATTAAATAGGTGAGCTTTATCATCAATGGGAGTAGTAGCTGGTGAAGAATCATGCTGGCTGTCAAACCCCTAATAACCGCAGGTGGAGTCCCAGGTCTAGACCAGAGCAGAGGAGGCACCAAGACAGAGCTGGAAATCAGTGACCACAAAGTGACCACAAGCTTCCTGGAGACGAGCACCATGCTTTTCTGCCTTTTCTTTCTTTTCTCTTCTGTTTATTTTTCTTTCTTTCTTTCCTTTTTTCTCTGTTTTTTTTTTTTTTTCATCGTTGTCTTTGTCTTTGTCATCTTTTTTTTCCTTGGCATACTCTGAGTCACTTTTCATGTCTCTGGTTCATCAAAAATCAGCTGAGTTGCAGGCAGCCTTCTGCCCTGAAAGACAGGGAGTGCAAAGGGGTTCTGACCTCTGCTGGCCGGCAACAGCGCGGTGTCCACGCCGCGTCGTGGGGATTTTAAAGGCGCTCCTTGGGATGTGAGGTGGAAGCGGTCAGGTTGAGGTTTTGGTCGTGCAGGGAGAGGCCAGAGCTTTTATCATTGTGTCATTGTATTCCTTGCACTTACAGTGTACCAAAAGGTGACTGGGTTCTCTTTCCATTTTAAAAGATGAAGAAACTGAGGTACAGTGAAATTGATTTAGGAAAGTAGAACCTCTCCAACCCAAGTTTTCCTCTATTCCCTTGTTCACTGCTGCTCACCTTCCAACCACTTGTAGATTTTTTTTTTTATGATTCTCTAAATCCCTGGCTGTGCCCTTGAAGAACCACCCTCACCATCCCTTTGATTCGTGTTAGAAATTTGGCTAAGCCACTGAGTCATGATTCTTTGGGACTGGCTTTCTTATATCTGCCCATTGCCTGTGGTCATTTCTTTATCTGAGCTCTTGGCCCGCAAACGTAGACGTCCCCTGATTTTTACTCTCTGCGTTTTCCTCTTTGTTTCCACAGCCTGTAGGTTTTGTCAGTTTTGACAGTCGCTCAGAAGCAGAAGCTGCAAAGAATGCGTTGAATGTAAGTATGTACTACTTATGTAATCGGAGGAGTTTCCTCATGAGGGTGATGGGAAGGCCCAGAACCTTCTAGAACCTTCTGGACAGGAGGTTAAATGGAAGGAAGTGACTGCACAGGGAGGAGGGACTCAGCAATTTTGTTAGACCTCTGAAGAGCTTTTTCTAAAACCCTCGCTCAGATACATAAGTTATTAAATAGCACTTTGCTTTCTGCTGACTGCAATTGAAACACTCAGAATATCTGACCGTGCGGGTGTTAATTCCACCCCATCACGACATCCCGTGGTGGTGTGCAAAACCCTGCTGCTCTTGACCAGAGCAGAGGCTCGGCACCAGAGGCCTGGGCCATGATCCGATCCAGATCTTGACTCTTCCTATTTCATGAAATTTCCCTTTTAGTTACGTGGCCTTTACAAAAACAGAAGCAACAGGTGGAAGACTTTTTTGTGATTGATGAGATGTTTGCATGTAAGGTTTCCCCAGCAGACATTCTGCACTGTGCTACAATAATTATAATCTGTAGCTGAGTAGCGATACTTGTGTAGTATTTGCTTTGCAGGCCTATGCCTACCATTTGCTGAGAGGCTCTTGCTGGCCTTATTGTCGTAACCACTGCCCTTTGGTCTGCTGAAAAACAAAGCACAGGGAGCTCAGCCTAGGGAGGTGGGGAAGCAGTCTGTCTCCGTGCGGATGCTGGGGGGTCTCGGTGACGTCAGCTGTGGGCAGCAGTGTGTAAGTGTTCGCTACGGCAGTGCAGAGCAGATGGGATGCTTCCTAGAAGGCTGAACGGAACTCAGTGCCGTGGATGGGTTTCTAAGGAGCTTGTTGCTGGCTTTATTTCGCTGTGGTGCCTGCAGGTTGCCCTGCCCGCCGCTCCGTGAGCAGACCGTAGGAGCATGGCAGCTGGAAGCCTGGTCCTCCAATGACTTTGGGCCCAACAGAGGCCTTTATGTGAGTCTGTTGGTGTGGCCTGCTGTGCCACTGGGACACCCACTTGAAAGGATTTTAGACTGAGAAACAAAAATGTGTGCACTCTCCAAAAAAAAAAAAATCCAGTTGAATTACTATTTCAGTTTTCATGTTAAACATCTAGGAATGTCTTAGGATGGCAGGACAAATGACCGACCGATGCTCAGGCTAACCGCCCACTCTGTTCCTCTCCCACAGAACAAAGTGTTCACTAGTTACTTATTGAGCCCCAGTAGCACATGGAAGCCCGGTGTCTAACTGAATGTTTCGATGAACACTTATCTTAGGATTTTTGTATTACGTGGATAGAACCATAATTGTCTCGGTATAGCTTGAAAATGAAACCACAGTGTCTGTCTGTGCAGGGTTTTAATGTTATGTTAGCTGGATGGGCATCTTTCTCGATGCAGAAATACGCTGGGTCCCTTCTTGTTGCATTAGGTGAAGTTCACTGTGCTCTTTCATTGTTCTCACAAAGGAAGTAGCAGCAGTTGGGGAGCTCATGGTAGAATGGGCTCTCATGGCCTTCTCTTCTGTCTGCTGTGAGTGTGAAGATGTCCCTGACTCACTGCAGCACAGAAGGCTGTTATAATGACCTCTGTGGTCCCACGAGGCAAAATACCCCACTCCTTAGGGTCAGGTGGTTTTGCCTTGTTGTTGTTGTTTGTTTTTTTTTTTTTAATTTCCCTTTTCTTTTTCCGGGTCATTAAAGTAATATTTTCGAAGTACTTAAATGATACTACTCACTCACAAACTCTGTCCTTGCCATGCTACACATAATACAGCAGGTGCAATTTTTCTCGATGCCCACGGAATCTCTCCGTTGCAGACGGAGGTGTTGAAGCCATTTCGCCTCTGGGCAGCTGGCCCTGGGTCCCTGTGTGTTCTGGTTCTGAGGTCTGCTTCTAGGTGGTTCTCTCTGCACCAACAGCAGCATCGTTTCCCTTGATCATCAATCAAGGGGAAAACAGCTCTAACTCTGTTCTGTTCCACACATCCATGAGGGAAAACTCTTATTTTCCCTGTGGGGTCAGTGAACCTGGGCTTAACCTGGGCTTTCTCCCGCTCGGGGCATTTGCTGAGCTTCTGGCCAATGTCTTGCTAGACAGTTTTAACGTTTTTCCACATCTGGTATTAGAGATACTGTGTGCTTCAGGACTCTTCCTAGTGGCACAGTCACAGAAACAGGAGGTGGAGGGTGCCTGCGGGTTCAGTCGCCAAGTGGAGGTCTGGAGTTGGACCTAGGAGTCTGCTATGGAGGAGCCTGCTGCATCGCACTTGTCTGCCCTGGACAGCGTCTTGCTGCTTGCTTTGTCCATGGAACGTTCTTGCATTTTTCCCGGCAACAGTAGCAGCCTGTTGAGTTCACATTGCCCAGCACAAACAGCCACAGTAAAGTCTGGTATTGACCAAGGAGCAAGGTTTGCTCACTCTGCAGAGCACATGGGCCTTTTGAAGGTAATGAACTTGATCATGAAGCTTGCTTTTGTCTTCTCTGACCCAACATACTTGACCTTTTCATGGTCATTTTCTAACTGATGAGTTAAAGACATAGGATGCTCCTGGCCATTGCACCACCCCACCCCCACCCCATGTCAGTTGTTCAGGCTTCTCTTAAAAGCTTTCCCTTGCATTCCTTTCGGGAGACTTCAGTGTTGTAATGTTTTGTTTTATTCCATCGTTGAGCAACTTACGTCTCAATCCAGTAATCCCTCCTTATAGGATAGTTCACGGTGTTATTAAAAACCGCCTCTCCATGTTTGGCGCTGCTGTCCTTGTTAGTATTCCTCTGTCCTGGTTACTGGCTTGTTCAGTTATTAGTCTTAATAATTAAGTCTTTTCCCAAAATGACGGATTTTTAAATCCATTTTATTTTCTTCCATTTTTGGAGCATGCCTCAGGCAGTTTGATAATTTTATGGAAAAATATGGCTCAGATTGAAGTATGTGATAACACTGAACTTTGTTTTCGGGGAGTTACTCCAGCCTTCTAAAGTAAATACAGTGTGTTTTACTTTTTATAGTGAAACTCCCAAATTAGGCTAAGAATAATCTGAACCCAGACTTTGCTTCAGGTTGTCTGTGGTGCCATTCATCCACGTGATTAGAAACCGCCTCCATTCTTCAGCCTGACAGCAAAATCTCTGACCTTTGTCTCACCCTTCACACTTGCCTGTATTTGTGTTGCCAGTCCTGTAATTTCCATGCCGGCGGAAGGAGGAGCTGAGAATTAGAAAGTCACCCTACACGTTTTCCATTTGCTTGATGCTTTTGGAAGGTGAATCAAATGCAGCAATATTTGGAGTTAGCTGGCTTCGTAAATATTCTGCTTTTAAGTTTTAAAAATTTAAAGTTTTACCACATTAAGGAGACAGGAAGCAGAGTGGGTACAGACCCTGAGCAGATGTGGAGAAAAGCCCAGCAGCGGTGAGGACCCCAACACTGCCACGGTTGCCCAGAAGAAAGTGTGTTTCAATGCATGAGGAGGATCTATAGTTTGCACTCAGAACTGCAGTGCCTGGGCGTTGTTTGGAAAGTCCCTTGCAAGGCTGTATGCCATTCGTTTGATAACCCTCCTCCCCGCATTTTAAATAATTGTTGTGGGGCTGGAGTTTATCTCAGACCCTACTGTAAGTTATCTCAGAACTAGAGAAGTGTGATATAACCAAGCTGTTGTGGGTTCCTACAGAGTGAGCAGGCCTGGCTTAGAGTCCGGTGAGTAGTTTGCTCTACCCTGCGCTTACTCTCCTGGATCTGTCATCTTTAATTGCTAGCACACTCCCAAATTCAATGTTGTTGTTGTTTTTTTTTTTTTAATTTTATTGAGAGAGATAATTCACACACCATACAGGTCACTCATTTCAAGTGTGTTCAATTCAGAAGGTTTTGGTTATATATATTGTTGCTTTTTAAAGTTGTGGTAAAATACACGTAAACATTTTGTGATTCTTAGCAGCTTTGCCATGTGCAAGTCACTGGCAGTGACTACAGTCACTATGTTATGCAACTCTCGCCACTATTTCCAAACCTTTTTTTGTTACCCCAAGCAGAAATCCTGTAACCATTAAGCAATACCTCCCCCTGGTAACCTACAGTCTGTTTTTGTCCCTGTGAACTTGCCTATCCTAAATGTTGGTATTTTTGTCATTTTTTCTGACTTCTTTTCCTTAGCATAATGCTTTCGAGGTTCATTCACACTGTGGCATTATCAGAAAAGGTTCTTTCTGTGGCTGGATCATATCTCATTGTATGGACACACACATTTTGTTTAGCTGTTGACAGACATTTGGGTTCTTGCTGCCTTTTGGCTATTGTGAGTAACACGGCAGTAAACGTTGATGTACAGCTACCTATTTCAGTCCTTGTTTTCCCTTTGAGTATAGACTGAGACGAGGAATTTCTGGGTTGTTTGGTAATCATATTTAGCTTTTTAAAAAAATATTCATTTATTTATAAGGCAGAGTTACAGAGAGCGAGAGAGGGAGAAAGAGAGGGGAAGGGAGAGTGGGAGAGACACAGATATCTTTAATTTGCTGGTTCACTCCCCAAATGGCTGCAGTGGCTGGGGCTGGGCCAGGCTGAAGCCAGGAGCCTGGAACTCCATCCAGGTCTCCCATAGAGGTGACAGGGGCCTAAGTACTAGGGCCATCATCTACTGCTTTTGCTGGCACACTTTCAAGGAGCTGCAGGGACTCAAACAAGCACTCTCATGCGATGCCTGCATCACAGGTTGTAGCTTAACCTGCTGCACCACATCGCCGGCCCCTGCATTTTAGCTTTTTACACAGCTATCAAGCAGTTGTCCATTGTGGTTGCACCATTTTACATTCTCACCTAACAATGCTTAATGGCTCAGTCTCTATATCACTGATGATACTTGTAATTTTCTGTTCTTTAAATTATAACCATCCCACTTAGTGTGAAGTGCTTCTTGGGTGCTTGGTAAAGCTTGCTTTATTTAGTTTTTAAGATTTATTTAATTTGAAAGGCCAAGTTAAAGATCTTTCATCAGCTGGTTCACTCCCCACATGGC